TTCCCGGAATGTAAGGCATCCGTTCTGCCCTTATCCTTGCAAGAATTTCCTTTCGCGTCCTCCTCACTCGTTAAACATGGACAGATAACTAGTGAGATTCTTAGTACGATTGAATCACAAATTGACGTAGGATCCAAAAAGCTGTGAATAGGGCTTCCGTTCTTGCTTTCTTCTTTCCTTCTCCGGAGCTGGAAATCAATCAAAGAAAAACTATTTAGTAGATGCTTGAATCTACATCTCTCTCTCGCCTATCAAAAGTAGAGCGTTAGCTGAGACGGGATCAAACTCTTCTTTTGACTTTCTCAAAGACCGGCTCAAACGTATTACTGAAGCTGAAGGAAGTGTAGCCGGCCGGGCTAGCCGATTTTGCATCTTGTGCAGAAGAAAACTATACACCTATGATGAACTTATTATGAGTGCTCACTGTTCTCTAGTATAGTGACCAAAAACAGTAAGACCAAATGAACTTACATTGTGATGATTCCATAATCCATTTCAGTCGTCATATGAATTCGGAAACTCTACAATTTTCGACCTCGGGACACTTTTCCTGATCAGCACAAATGAAACAGACAAATTTCAGAAGCATTTTTAAACTAAAGATATCAATCATAATCAATATTCTTCAAAATTGTAGAACTAAAGAGAAGAAAGTACTTACATGCCGTATTCTGTGAGATTAATCACCAAAGAAGCTCCACTTCCTCTGTTTTTAAACTCGCCACTCGACATAATCTGATATTAAACTAACCAGGGCTTATATGTTTTTGCCATCAATCTCATCACATCATCATACATTCATCTTCACCATCATCATCATCATCATCATCATCATCATCAAAATCACTAGTAAGTATCCAACTATTTTTTCGTCTACTACTGCAAGTGACATAAACGTTTTAGCGTTGTAATATGGCGTATTACTCGTGGCTTCGACTGACAATTTATATTAGCACTCCAATTGAAAGTTTTATGCCATCTCTAACTCCAACCATCACTCTAAAAATCATGAAACAATTAATATTAATTTTTTTTTTCTTTGAACATTTTCTAGTTTTTTAAAAACAAAATATTTAAATATAAAAAAAAAGACATAAATAGAAATCTGTCAAAAAACAACAAAGCAGAAACAATTTCTTGAACTAACAAAGAAACAGTACAAGAAAACAAGTTTCTTGAGTCGAATGGCGTTGTGTGCAAAGTGAGAATTTATCCCAATTGGCGTTGCCGAACAATGATGCTCAGAAAATACGCTTTCAACTGAAATGGAGAGAGTGAGTCATCTTGCCTAGTTAGTTAGTATGAGTATGCATCGTAACGCTTGAGATGCTTCTTTTGCAAGTAATTAGTTCAAGTAACTTGTGGTTTTGGTAAGTAATTGTAATGCTTGTTTTGTAAGTAATTAGTTTAAGTGACTTGTGGCTTTGGCAAGTAAGTGTAATTGCCTGTTTTGTGTTGTCTACTGGATGGGGAATTGTACTTATGTGCTTGTTTTGTATTATCTACTGTATGGGGACAAGAAATTAAGTTTCTAAATTTGTTGTTTGCTTTGCTTGCTCAGTTGTGGTTGGTGTTTTGCTCATGATAAAATAGTTCCTTTTTTATTTAACTGATACTTTGCTTGTCGATTCTTCTGCTGTTTATGGAACATTGTTGAACATTAGAAAACATTATATAGCTAAATCGTCCCCAGCACGAAAAAGACTTGGCACAAAAAAGACAGCAACTGGGCAAATTAAGACGTTAAATAGTCGGGTCATGAGATTAGTCAATCGACAATCCATTGGGATTTCAGACTCTGGGTTTCTCATAGTACAGGAGAGTTTCTGAGTGAGGATAAAATGATGACCTGACTTCATAACATTATCACAGCATGGAGAGAAAGAAAACAGGATATTTAAAATAAAAAAGTTTCAGTAAAAGCATTAGTGCGTAGAGAGTTTGCGATACTTATGCCGTCGTCTGACCTCTCCATTTCAACTCAAGGCATATTATATTGTCATATGTCCTGTTTAGCAATTCTGAAAGGTCCGTCCAGTGAATGAGCTGCCCATAGAAAGTGTTCACGTACACATGCTCCAAATCGTGCTGCCAAAAGTAAGGCTCGGTCCCCAGGCTCATGTTTGCAAGCAAGATGTTGAACTGAAACTCTGAGAGCCGGTAGTCCGACTGGCTCAGGTACACACCACTCCATATACTCCTCGGTCGACAAACACGGAACAAACCATTTGTAAAGCCCGAGTACCAAGATGCCGTTCGACATTTAGAAGTACTAAATGTCAAGTTCTCCATAACCACAGGCGGCTTGTCATTGGGAAGACGACTGTTGTCAACAGCACCACATGGCACATCCAGAGGGCCGTTGTTTATCTGCGTAGTCAGATAAATTTGAGACCCACTTAGTGCCTTGAGCATTCGTCTCAGCTTAAGAAACCACGAATTGACGTCGAGATCGGGATCCTCCTGACGCGAAGAGAGGAATACATTTGAGTGCCACATCTTGGAAGTAGTGGTCGTGAAAGAGAATGTGTCCGGCACCTGGTGAATACCGGCATTGAAATTAAAAGTGAGAATGTTCGGGGCACAAATCATAGCTCCTTTAAGCGGTATTTTTCTTGTCAAGATGGTCAAGAACTTGACCGAATCACTTGCAAGATGGAATTCCTCGAAACCGGAGCAATCATGTAGGGCCAAGTTCGCAAGAGTTGGGCAGCCGAACGATAACAGGTCGATCGACTCGCTCGACATGATCACATTATTGAGATACAAACTCGTGAGACGAGAGAACAATAATGTGCTTTGGCGGTGAGACCAAATCCATGGGCCATTGATAAAGACTGTCTCGAGATTTGGGACATCGATTTTGATGCTACACCCTTCAATAATCTTGATATCAAAAAACTTAAAGTGCTTGAGCTCAGGCGCCTCGCTCAGCCTTACGTTTCTCAACTCACAACAATTATTAAGCGCCAGGCGCCTGAGAGAGGAAACAGAGAATGTGGTGACGTATGGGTATTGGCAGTTGCGATATTCTGTCGTCGTCCATTGCTACGGTGGTGCTCTCCTGCTCTGTTTCAGCCGTCCGCTTCTGCTTTTTCATGGTCGTAGGCGATGATAGTGTGATGTGAGAACGAATGACTTTGTGTTCTACTGAATGAATTAACCCTAGTGCTGCCGAAGATGTACGTGCTACATTATTATTTTCTTTACTTAGAATAATTTTTATTATTATATTTAATTTAATAGTGTAATATAATTTTCTTTTCATTATTATATTTGTGCAACATAACCTTAATGTCTTTATATCAACTAAAAGAAATTTAATTATTGAATAAATAAAAAATAAAGTAAAATATTAATAAGATCATAGATATAAAAATAGAATGAAAAAAAAAATTATTGATTGAAAAAATGATTGTAACTATTGATACTTGAAATTCCTTAACAGTTGTGACGATATCACATTGGTAACCTTAGAAATTAATTATAGCGTAGGAATTTTTGGCAATTCAATCTTTTCAGTAAAACAACTCTCCCTTATAAGATAGTTATTTCAAAATTGAACTCTAATCCATTTTAATTATTCTAGGGATAGGAGAAAAATGAGTTAAATTTATTTTGCTTAATTTCGATTAAATTAAAAATGAGAGTAGATTGTATATTACATACAACTTATAAAATAATGATTATTATCGTAGAAACTTGTTACACATGATATATACTTCTGTGTGTTTTTAATAAATTTTGAAAATGACAGTGAACATTCACGACCATTCAACTATAATTAATTAAAAATATATCTTTTATTGGAGTTGATAATAATGATTTGTAATTCATTTTCTCACATTTATTTAAAAGACTAATACATTCACAACATTGAAAATTGACTATACTACAATTATTTATCATATATCAATTAATCATATATATGACATTAAATTGGAATTATTAATTTTTACTGAAATGATAGAAGGTTCTAAATTATATTTTCATTTATTAAAATTTGGAAATTATAAACTCTTCATTACATGTAATTTATTTTATAATTATAAAAAAAGATATGAGTAAATATTTAAATATATAGTGATGAAAATAAACATTGATGAATGTAATTTCTTATAATATCACAATACTAAAATTTCCAAAAGAAATAATGAAAATACAACAAATATCCAAAAGTTACGTGGGGAATTCTAATATCAGATTTGACTCGTACCAGTCTCGTACCTACCTAACATTAGGTTCTCTTTTAAAATCATGCCATGTGTCCCAAAATTTAATTAATTAAGAAAGTAATTAAATAACAAGCTTGGATAAATACTAAAGTACCCTTACTTAAAAAAAAAATTATCAACTAGAGTGTTTAACTATTATGATATTATTATAATACCCTAATAACATGTACATATTCCAATTAGGCCACGAATTAAAATTAAATTGCATTCTATCTTCCCCGTCGAAGTGAAAAGCTATCTTTCTTAATCTGGATTTACATGGATCAAAAAATGTGTTAATTATGTTAAGATAAATAATTTTGAATTAATTTTTATGATGTTCTTGGTTCTGTTCGTTCATGACCTGTTCGTGAATATTTGGATGTGATTGTTAAATTCTGGGAAATGATTTTCACCATATCTGGGAATTGTAATTCCTACACAGTGCCTATTGGTTTTATTTTAATTATAGTTAAACTGTAATTAAGAACACTGATTTGGGATTGTGTTTTGGTTCTGTTCGGACAACACATACAAAATCTGGGATTTGTTCATGGTCATCTCCGATCGTCGATCTCCCGTTACGCCGGGACTCGAGCGGCCAAGGGTCGCTGCCGCTGGGCCGTTTCCGTCGCGTTGCTGCTGCCGCTAGTTTCTTGTTCGAGAAACCCGTTTCTTGTTCAAGAAACTCATTTCTTGATCCATGTAAATCCAATTTAAACAGCAACTATTATCTTAGATATTTAAAAATATTTCAATGTTTAAACTTGTTGATAAATAATTCATAAATCTCCATATTTTTATTTATTTTCAAATATATATCTAAATTTTAACTATGGAAATTAATCATAAGCTAGAAGCTAATTTATCAGGTATCAGTTAACTTATCAGATATTTTTCGTCAGTTAAGTACACAGTTAACGGGTTTCTTGAGAAGTAAACGGGTTTCTTGAGAAATAAACTTGTTTCTTCCGAAATAAAGTCGTTTCTTGAGAAGTAAACTCGTTTCTTGAGAAATAAACTGGTTTCTTGAGAAACAAAGTCGTTTCTTGAGAAATAAACTGGTTTCTTGAGAAATAAACTGGTTTCTTGAGAAATAAACGGGTTTCTTGAGAACAATACTGGTTTCTTGAGAAATAAACTGGTTTCTTGAGAAGTAAACGGGTTTCTTGAGAAATAAACTTGTTTCTTGAGAAATAAAGTCGTTTCTTGAGAAATAAACGGGTTTGTTGAGAAATAAACTGGTTTCTTGAGAAATAAACGAGTTTCTTGAGAACAATAAACTGGTTTCTTGAGAAATTAACGGGTTTCTTGAGAATTGAACGGGTTTCTTGAGAAGTAAATGGGTTTCTTGAGAAATAAAGTCGTTTCTTGAGAAATAAACGGGTTTCTTGAGAAATAAACTGGTTTCTTGAGAAATAAACGAGTTTCTTGAGAAATTAAGGGGTTTCTTGAGAAGTAAACGGGTTTTTTGAGAAATAAACGGGTTTCTTGAGAAATAAAGTCGTTTCTTGAGAAATAAACGGGTTTCTTGAGAAATAAACGGGTTTCTTGAGAAATAAACTGGTTTCTTGAGAAATAAACTGGTTTCTTGAGAAGTAAACAAGTTTCTTGAGAAATAAACTGGTTTCTTGAGAAATAAACTGGTTTCTTGAGCAAAAAAAAGGTTTCTTGAGCAAAAAACCCATTTTTTTGTTCAAGAAACCCGTTTATTTATCAAGAAACAAGTTTCTTTTTCAAGAAACCTTATTTTTGCTCAAGAAACTTGTTTTTTGCTCAAGAAACGTGTTTTTTTGCTCAAGTAACCAGTTTTGTGGATATTATGGATGTTTATCAATATGATTTTTGCACAAGAAACCTGTTTTTGGCTCAAGTAACCAGTTTTGTGGATATTATGGATGTTTATCAATATGATTTTTGCACAAGAAACCTGTTTTTTGCTCAACCATCCACATTCATAACACCTTTTTGTTCAAAGTCACGAAAACAGCTCAAGAAACCTGTTTTTTGCTCAAGAAACCATTTTTTTGGTCAAGAAACGTGTTTTTTTGCTCAAGAAACCAGTTTTATGGATGTTATGGATGTTTATCAATATGATTTTTGCTGAAGAAACCTGTTTTTTGCTCAAGCACCCACAATCGTAACACCTTTTTGTTCAAAGAAACCTTGCTCTTTCTCAAGAAACCTGTTTTTTGCTCAAGAAACGTGTTTTTTTTGCTCAAGAAACCAATTTTATGGATGTTAGGGATGTTTATCAAAATGACCAAAAAAATCAGTTCATATATTTGCACAATTCCAAACTGAACAGAGGACAGAACAGTATACACACAGAGAAGATACAGAAACTAAAATGCAAGAGAATATGAACTCAGACTATTATGTAAACCATCGACTACAGTTAGAGTGTGCAAGAATATGATGTTTCAAAAGAAGGCCTACACAAGGAAAAAGGAAAAAAACGAACAATAACGTCTGCTCTAAAATTTCCAACACGAACATCTGCTCTAAAAAACAAAGTCTAAGAGACTAAAGCTTCAGCACCTAAAAAAGTTCTTTAAAATCCCCGATTGAGTGTCTGGAGAACCTTTGAATAAAATCCCCAAGACGGACTAGTTTCGTCTATAGGACTTTGACCAAAAGGATTTTGCTCGACATATTTCTGCACATTGTCACATGTCGCCAATCCTTCCAAATAGACCCGAAGGTCACCTCTTGGGCCTGCAAAAAAAATGAACAAAATATGTATGTATTTTAATGTGAGGTCACCGTTTGGTAAAAATTACCACGAAAAGAACAAACAAATATATAACAACAAAAATACACCAACAACAGTACCTAAGGAATTGTCACTTTTATTATCCATGTAGCTGTATGAATTGGGGAATACTGCAGTGTGCAACTATAGGGAAGCTTAAGAGAGATTGAATTATTATTGACTAATTGATGACATGAAAGTTGTGGCTTTGTATGTTGGTTATACCAAGTCAGTACTAAATCAAAGGTGTCACAGTGAAGGATAGAAAAGTGATTCCCCTATAAACTATGCCCAAGATATCAAAATTTATGTAACCTTTTACAAATGAAATGATTATATAAGAACTTTTGGTGTCTGATTTGTGTCACATTTCAACCTCTAAACGATAAACTGCAATTCTGAATAATATTTCACTATTTCAAATTAAATTAATGTATCTCATACCCCTAGAAAGTTGCACCGTCTGTCACCCTTTTAACAAACATTTACACCACAAATGGAATGAGAAATAGAGAGATTCAATTTTTAAGTCCATTCCCATAATTCAATCACCAATGTAATGCAAAAACTTGTTAAGTCCATCACTTTCCTCGCAACTGAGCTTCGCGGATCGTGAGAGGGACATAACGAACAGAAAACCCGGTCCTTACGCTGATTGTGCCATCCGCATTTTTGTCCACCACTTTCAAGTCCTGAGAGCTTTTCCCAATCAGAATCACTAATCTGCCACCTGATTTCAATTGGTCGATGAGTGCCGGAGGGATCTCCGGCGTAGCTGCTGCAACATGAATGGCTTCGTAAGGCGAGGACTCCGGCCACCCTTGCCGGCCATCTGAAGTATACATCAAATTAAATCATCTTATGAAATCTGAATGTGTTAAAAAGTGTTTAACCAACACTTTAAAACCAGAAAGCATTTCTGTGGATGTAACCATCATCAAAACCCATGCATAAACTAATATCAAATGGATTGAAATACAAGATCAAGAGAATGAGAAATAACATACCAACATCATGGATTGAGAGCAGTCCTTCTCTCAATAATGTGGCTGCTTCGCTCTTTTCGATATTCTTAACCGATGATTCAGCCAATTCAGGAATATGCTCTACGCCAACCACGCAGCCCTGTGGTCCGACCATAAGAGCAAAGGACGCAGTCAAATATCTTGTTCCTACACGAAAAATTTAACAAAATCTCAAAATTAAAGCTACACTTTGCGAGAACTGAAGCTAAATTGTATTTCATAATCTCATTTTTGGGCTAATCATGCTAACAATACTTTACAACAATATACATACACATATATGTGTGTGTGATCATATATAATGGGCTGAGAAAAACTAATTTTCAGGTTTCACCATATCATAGATAAAATTTAGCACACTCTTGAGAATGTGGATGTAATTCAAAGTAAATTAGGCTGAACCTGAAGTTCAAGTCCCCCAAGTGTGATTATAACAACATTTTGGACCTCAAGAAGTTCAGGTTTATCCTTTTGTTGCATCTGTTTAAGCAAAAATAATTAAGGTTGGACAACTAGATTACAACATCTACATTTCTCCAATAAACAAATAATAGAATCTGAAAGAGTGAAGGTTTTGGTCGAACAATGAAGATCGACTGCTACTGCTGGACAAGATCAAAATACACTGTCCTCTAAAATTCACATTTAGCATCTCCTAAAGCACTGGATACAACTATGAACTCATTAATTAAACAATGACTAATAATAAGAAAACGAGCATGGAGATAGAGAACCGAATGAATAAAACATACCTAAAAACTGCCCCACTATTAGATTTCAAATCCATATAAATATGAACATATATGCACTATTAGCCAAACACAAAATCAGAATCCCAAAACTGAATATCAATTCAATCCAAATATCCGGTAAGACACCTAACGAGATAAATTAAGAAATAAATCAGCAAAAGAAATGCTGGGAT